TGCTTTGGTGTGCCTGTACCTCATATAGGAATAGAGTCATACTATATTGGTCCTTTTGTGTCTAGTTTATTTCACCCAGCACAATGTCTTCAAGATTCCTTCAGGTTGCGTCAAAATTTCATTCTGTTTTAAGGCTAAACTATATTCCATTGTAAGTATATGCTACATTTTGTATATCCATCCATCCATCAATGGACATTGGTATACAATTATCTGTTCAAGTTCCTGCCTTCTATTCTTTTAGGTATATACCATTCTTAGTCTCTTTTGCTGTTTCCTCCAAGTTTCCTCAAAGTTTAAATGCAGGCAATCTCATGTCTCAGATTTCAGTCCTCTTTCGTTTATACCTATCTATATTCCTTAAGAGACTTCACCCAGGCTTTGAGCTTCAAATACCCAAATTTATATCTCCAGGGCCAACATCTTCCCTGAACTCCAGACTTGTGTCTAAATGTCCTGACATTATCAGCTAAAAGTCTAGCAAGCATCTCAACATTTAAATATCCAAAACCAAATTTTGGATTTTTTTCTCTTTAAATATGTTCTTCCTCGCTTCTCATCTGAGGACATGACAACCCAATTTTCCCGATTTTCTAGGTCAAAACACTAATAGTTGTTCTAGAATCTTTTCTTTTGCTCATACTTCACATCTAATACATTACCAAACTGTGTCTCTATCTTAAAACATATTCAGATGCTATCATTTTGTTCACCACTTCTCCAGCTACCACCTTGGGCATAAGTCATCATCTGCACCCCAGGATATCTGCAGCAGCTATTTAGTTGGTCTGGTGGTTGCTGCTTCTTTTCTCTTCTGTAGTTTACTCTCAACAGCCACCAGTGGAACTTTTGAAAGCTCAGATCTTGTCGTTTCTCTGCTCAGAACTTTTAGATGCCTTCCTTCTTCGATCAGAAGAAAAGCCCATGTCATTTTCATGGCCTACAGGCCTGGACTCTACCGAAACCATGCTGGCCTTCTTCTATGCCTGAAACACGCTTTGCTTTTGCTGTATTCCCTTTTTCTATGTAGCCACATTTCATGTTTCTATGCCTGAAACATGCTTTGCTCTTGCTGTAAAGAGGAATGCTCTCCCTCACTAAATTCATGTCTCTACTCATGACTGCATCCTATCAAGAGACCTCACCCCATTATGGCTCTGTAAAGCAGCAGACCCCTTCTCAGCACTCATTGTCTTGGGTCTCCAATTCTGCTTTATGCTTCTCAGTGAGTGGAACTTAACTGTTATCCATTTCCCCTACCCTGTGAGGCACTGGAACCTGCTGATAGGTCTGTTGGCCATGGTATGCATTGCTTTCCAATTCTTCGTTGAATGATATCAGGTTGGTAGCCTGAAATTTGGCTCCATAGAAATAGTTACAAAGGAAATCAGCCAACACAACAAATCAGGAATTTCTTTTCTTCTTTTTAAGACCCAGTTAAAAAGTCCCACTACTTCCTCACTCTTAAATAAAATGCTGTATGACAGCAGAGTTGTTCTTCTTTTTGCTCATTGCTGTTTTCCAGTACCTGTGACAGTACCTGGCAGAAATAGTCACTCAATGACTCTGTCTAATCAGTAAAGAATGAAGTAAAAAAGCCATCATTTTAATGTAGAGATTAGGAAAGAAAAGCCTAACCAATTTTTAAAATTTGATTTTATCTAATCTACCTTATGTGATTCTGGTGATACTACGTACCATCTAGAATTTAATTGTGGCCTAGATATTTACAAAAATTAAAATTAACATTACATATCTGAAATAACTGCCCTTTACCAATAGAATAAACTAATTGTCAGATCAGTACTCCAAGCAGTTTATTTTGTATAACTATTAAAATATTTTTCAATGACATTGCTGCATGCATTCTTGAGAGCTGGAAATTGTCAGTATGCAGTTTTCATGTACTCAAGTTGGGAGGGCCTCTGTGACCATCAGGTTGCTCCCTGTGGCATCCAAAAGCAATCCTAGAATGCCTCTGAGAAGCCACACATAAAGAAGCTTGACACAAGTCTTTAATTCTTTTTGTTGGCATAGCACCTTACCTTGGCTAGAGCGTGACTTTTTGTTTTGGGTTCACTTGGTTTGGATGACAAAGGTAAGAAGTTTCAGGTTACGTAAACATATTCAACATCAGTTTTAGAATATGCAAGATGGAAAGTCTTGGGTGTTTAACTTTGCAATTTAAAAGCTGGAAGCAAGGGCTAATGGAACTTACACACCTAAAACCATTTACTCCATCATCCATTTCATAGATGAGGAAGCAGAGGTGCTGGCAGACAGTACAACTTCTTCTTTTTATTTATTTATTTATTTATTTATTTATTTGAGATAGAGTTTCGCTCTGTCACCAGGAGCCAGGCTGGAGTGCAGTGGTGTGATCTCGGCTCACTGCAACCTCCGCCTCCCAGGTTCAAGCAATTCTCCTGCCTCAGCCTCCCGAGTAGCTGGGACTACAGGCACGTGCCACCACGCCCAGCTAATTTTTGTATCTTTAGTAAAGACAGGGTTTCACCATGTTGGCCAGGATGGTCTCCATCTCTTGACCTCGTGATCCACCCACCTCAGCCTCCCAAAGTGCTGGGATTACAGGCGTGAGCCATCACACCTGGCCAGCACAACTTTATGCCTGTTAACGGCAAAGCTGGCACTTGAACCCACATCTCCATTTTCCTAGTTTCACCTACTTTTCCATACCTCTAAGCACTCAGTACAGCTGAGAATCATGAGGATGAGGAAATTACTTGTGCAGCATAATTTTTGAAACTTCTCCGCTATGTATTGCCCACAGTAAAAATTACACTTCATACTGTGACTCAGAACATACAGCAGTAACATGCATGAAAAAAGCTTCACAAAACAACTTACTCTGTACAAGACAAGTTTCTTTTCTACTCTTGGCAAGTTTGTTTTATTTTATGAAAGCTGCACATGAGCCACTCAATGGCTCTGATGGGTCAGAAACTAATAATACATCAGAGGCCACAGTGATAAATACTTTTTTTAAAAGCAAAGATCTTTTTGAAGTGATGATCCAGAAAGTACATGTATATAGCACAGACAAGAAGTTTATGCCACAGCATCTTGCCCTTACATGTGCTTCACAAACCTGGGAGGGTGGAATGAGGGAGAGAGAAAGCAAGAAATAAAAGTAAGTACATTTTAGATTTCAAATGATACCATGCTTCTTTTCTTTTGGTTTTTACATGTAGATAAAAATCTCCCAAATTCTCTCTCATGTGAAATTTAAAAACTGGTAACTTGAACAAAGGTTATATACAGAAAAGAAGATCTGGAATTGCATGTATTGTGTTGGGTGTTGACATTTAAATTCATAAACAGGGTAACACATGGAAGCTTTTCCATTTCCTATAAATGTTATTTCAAATCACAGCAGGCACAGAAAACAGTTCGTTTTCAACTAGATCTTGAATTTTTATGTATGAGATGCTGTAAAAAACAAATAATATGAATATAGAGATAAATATTTGTGGGGTGCCTGGGTATTTTGACAAATATCTGTTTCACAAATGTCCTTCCTTCCTTTATGGTCTGTAAGCCCCCGCAGAAATTCTTGCACTCAATCTGTCCTTTTGTTACATTGCCTTCCTGTCACAAGTTTCAAAGCTTTATTCACTTTATCCTGATCTCTTCACACTTTTAATCTTCTACTCTAAGTCCTACTGCTGCTTTTGTTCTAACCAACTCAATGGTCTAGTTTTCCTCTTGCAGGCCTACACCTTCTACAGGGTAGTTATACTGTAATCCTGATGTAATTATCTGAGGGACAGTTAGTCTCTTTTTTAGCCCACCCCATAAGAAACTGTTAGGTGGGGAGGCCAGGAGCTGCCAAGCGTGGTGTGCAAAGGGTAGTATCCAAGGGGAACCTGAAGATGGAAAAGGACCCTGTATTCGTCTGTTCTCACACTGCTATAAAGAACTTCCTGAGATGGTAGTTAATAAAACAAAGAAGTTTAATTGACTCATAGTTTTGTATGACTGGGGAGGCCTCAGGAAACTTACATTTATGGTGGAAGATAAAGGGAAGGCAGGCACCTTTTTCACAAGGTAGCAGGAGAGAGAATGAACTCAGGAGGAACTACTGAACTCTTATAAAACCATCAGATCTCGTGAGAACTCACTGACTATCAGGAGAACAGAAGGGGAACTGCCCCCATGGTTCAATTACCTCCACCTGGTCTCTCCCTTGATACAAGGGGATGATGGGGATTATAATTCAGGATGAGATTTTGGGTGGAGACACAGACAAACCATATCAGAACCCCTTCCAGAACCTTGGATGGCATATTGATAAAAAAAAAAAAAAGAGGCACCTAGTATTTGGTGACATTAATTGAGCAGTGGAATGAAACTTTACCTGAATTTGGCAATTCCACTGAAATTTTCAATACATTCTAGTCATTTTCAATAAATTATATTCTTAGTTATCCAATTTGAGCAGGAAATTTGAAGATGTTAAACTGACAGTAATAGCAACTTCTTTCTTGCCTGTCAACCTCCTTTGAGATAAGCCCCTCTTCTGATCCTTCTTGCTGACATAAACTCTTCCAAATTAAGTGAGTGAAATGAAAAGTGGCCTTCTATAATTCTGACTTGAATTTTTTAGTGATAACAAAAACAACAATGTTACTACCAACAATATTGCCTAATATTTAGTAAGTACTTATTATATACCAATAGCAAGTTAAGGCAGCGGTGCTCAAATTTTGTGCAAATTTGTTTTTCAAATCCGTGACGCCCACACCACACCTATAGCAATTTGATTTTTATGGTATCAGCATTTCTGGAGGTGGAAAACACACATCAGCATTTTTTAAAGTTTCCCAGGCAATTCCATGAGCAGTTAAATTTGAGAACTCCTGTGCTAAAGATTTGCTAATGAATTATTTCTTGTAATCCTTATAGCAATCATTTCAAGTACTTATTATTATCATTATCATTGCCATTTAGCCAACAAGGAAGGAGTCTGAGTCTCAGGAAAGCCACACAGGTAATATTTAATAGAACCAGACTTTGAAAATATTAAAGGAGAGTGAGTTTCCTGACCACCAGCAAGGGATAGGAGGGGGGAAAAAATGAAGCCAGGAGCATAGATAATCCACAGAGAAAGCAATCGGTCCCTCCAAGAAAGAGCTGATGGAAAAAAACAGTCAAAGTCAGAGTTAAAAATCTATCCTCAAGAGAAGCATTTTAGGATCTAAGAGTGGTTTATCAGCTGAGCACAGTACAGACCCTACTTCTGTTCATTTGTCACCGTTCAGTAGACATTTATCAAACCACATCCGTAAACGAAACACTCAACTGATAAGCAAGCTGTGTATTGCAATAAAAGAGACAGATCCAAACCTGAAAGAAACCCTCCATGTGGCAGCAGAATTCACTTTGACTTTCAATGCCTGGAGACAAAGCGGGCTCTGATGCGGTCTCGGCAACTGTCTTTACTAATATTGATATTGAAATCGTAAGTTAAGCCAATAAACTTAGGTTCAAAGACAAATTTTATAGCTACATTATCAATATAGTTCTTGGAACTAACAGACTTACATGAAACTTGGCCGAAATGTTGTTGGGGGAAGAAGAAAAAATATTATTTTCTATACTAAAACTGTGAGAAATTTTGAATCATCAACAAAGCATTAATTATGTTAAGTCTGATACAAAACTCAGAGGCTAAACTACTGAAATTCTGTGTTACTAAGGAGATAAATGTAAATAACAGACTAATTTCATATGAAACACTTACAGAAGCCTTCATGAAAACAGTTCTAATTTTTCTTTCTAAAAGTCCTTATTTTTTACATTTTACCATAGATCATTTTAACCCTTTCAGAAAAAAAAAATAGTAGCTGTGTCATAGAATTTATTGGCACCTACTACCTTGTTACATCTCTGAAGAATAACTATTCCAGGTGATTTTTTTTCTTTCATCTCCAAAGCAACAAAGCATTTTGATGTCAAGAAAGAATTTTGACTTTCAAAGATAAAACAAAAGTTGTGGGAAGACAAATAGAAAAATAGCTAGTTTTATATCAATTATAGAAAGAGGCATTGAGCTCCTAAATGGCAACCATACTTCTGTGTTTGCCAATACCCTCTCTGCTAGAAATGAAGTATGTAAAGCACTAAATTTTAAACACAATGAAGAATAGTTTCTAACTTTGATGGCAAGTCAACATATCCTGCTAATATACCCTACCAGATCATCTAAGCCTAAAAAAAATTATGTTCTTCACCCAATATTTAAAAATAATCTTCACAAAATGGACTGCAAACACTTCTTTGACTATTTCTTCAGTAAGTTTTTCAAACCAAAACAAATGAAACTGCACACAATTCATCCCAAAGTATGCTGATCTTCACTAGTAACATTTGCTGAATTAAGACTAGACATCTTTTGGCATCATGGATAGAATCATTTCAATTGCAGAGCATTTAAGCTATACGGGAGTTTCATTCATCATGTCTAACAGTGAGTTCCCATATGTTTATGAGGTTCAAGGATTTTTTTCAAATAATTTCAAGTACATTTTAACCATCCAGTAACTTTGGCATTGTTGTATTTTTTTTTTTTCAAACAAAGGCAAAATTAGAGGACATAAAGCAAGCCCCTATGTCTAACAGCCCACATATTTGCTCACTGATTCCATCTTTAATAAAAGTGAAAGTGTTTAGGGCATACTGGCTGTTGTGTTTTACAACATCTACAACATAGAAACTTTTAATTGGGGCAATTAATTGATATCGTGACACAGTTAAACAATCGAGGCAGCATCTGGTGCATGCATAACACTCAGCTTCCTACCTTGGGAGCTTTGGCGTGTCTCCCACATCTGGCATCTTTGACAAGGCTGAGATCCAGTAGCTCCGTCTCCTGGAAGGCAAAAAATGTGAAATCATTAAGCAACCACACGGATCTTTCTTCTTTGTTTTATGTCATTGACATCACTTAAAAAAATATCTTGAGACTTGACTGAAGACTTCTCTGCAGTTGGGATATTTCTTTCCTCTTATATCGCTTCTCAATTGAATAAGAATGGAAACAAAAATGTAGCTAACTGTTAACTGCTCAGTTATACATTTTGAAAACAAAAAGTGTGTGGTTATGTCCCCAGTCTATTCTATAAGCCATTCCTAAATCACAATGAATCAGGTCCGCTTGTTCTTCCTGTTGAATATAATTCTGGGAGTCACTCTGAGTGTAAGTGAGGGTATGAGGGTATGTCGGTGGGGAGAAGGATTAGGGAGGATGATGGAGGGAGAAGGATTAGGGAGGAAGATGTAGGGAGATGCTCCCATTGGCTTACACACATACCCAGCTTGCCTGGCCAAGGCAGAGATAGAAATCTGCCTCCCCCAGTCCCCAGCCTTTTACACACATACCTCATGCCCTGATCTTTTCAATTAATCATTACCCATCATTGAACACCCATAATACGCAAGTTATTCTAGGGAATAAGACACACAAGATGTGATTTCTTTTCTGGATGGACTTGCCATCAAATAGAAGTGTAAATAAATGGATATGTGTAAGACAAAGGGGAATGTGTCAATGCCAATTTTAAAGTTAACTGCTATGGTGGAGGGGGGCAGCAAAGAAAACACAGTTTTTCTCCTAGGATCTCAGAGAAAAGTTTATGAGAAGTCATTAAGCTTGGAGAAAAGAAGTGGGGAGGAAGAGGGCTCCTCCCAGTTGGAGGGGAAAATATGAGCAAATGCTTAGATGAGAAAAGTCCAGAGGTTTTGGCTGAACCTTGAGGTATTAATGGCCTTCAGAGACAGAGAAGATTGCAGGGAAAGGAGGTAGGGAGAAAGAGAGGCATCCAGGATTAAAGAGCGGCAAAGGTACAGGCACAGTGGTGTAGAAGGATTGGAAGGGGATTCACGTGGGAGGACATTCAGTATTCCATTTGGCTAGAGCATAGAACACGTGACAAGAAGTTATGGGAGATAACACTAGAAAGGAATATGGGCCAAAGGATGGAAACCCTAAATGTCTGCCTAAGGAGACTGAGCCATGAGGTTTGTGACACACACAGGTCACTGCGTTAGACAATGGACTCTACCACCAGCCAGGTAGGACTGCGGTGCAATGAGCAGTGGTCTTAAAGTGACTCCAGATGTTCAAACTATGATTCCTGGACAATGAGCAAGTTGGATGAAGCATCGAGTCCCCTTCTCCCACCAGAATGTACTGCATCCTATTTCAGCTGCCAAGAGACCCTCTGGATAGGAGTGGCTGTAACTTCTTACTGGCCAAGCTCCCTAAGAACCAGCACCTTTTGTTCTTAGGCACCTTCTTTAAACAGCTGCTGCCAGTTCCAAATGTCTGGTGCAAGCTGGTCTGATTATTTTCCTGCACCTAAGATTGTCATGTAATGAGGGCCAAATTAAAAGTGAAGCCTCACCCCTCGAATGCAAACCCACACAGCAGGTCCAACAGAACAACTGACACACCTCTCTGTGGGATGAAGGGTGGACAGGAAACAGTGGGTCTCTGCTCTTGCTCACCTTGATCTTGTAAGTTACCTTTTCCCCATTTTAGAAGATTCCTTAGCCCATTTCATGCTGTGTCTGACCCTGTAGAAATCCCTCCAATCCCTGGGGCATGACAGGTGACAACCCAGCAAGGACCTTGCAGGACAGAGTGACTGGTGCCACAGTTACCCGAAGGGCACACCATCCACAATACTGGAGGTTGCCTATGAGTGTTAGAAAACAATGGTCTCAACCACATTCAGTGCTCCACTTAGGCAAATGCACATTATAGAGCCCTCACTGAAGAAACGGTGGAAAAACCGGACATGAGTAAGTTAAGCATATGCCCAAGTTTCTTCATCTCTGCAGCAATAACAACCAAAATATCTTCTGGAAGATGAGAAACAGTAAGGAAACCAAGCTTGAAGAAGTTTAATCTAGAAGATGGAAACTAAGTGGAGATTTGAGAGATGAGAGACGAGAGACAAAATGAAGGTAGGTAACTGGAAGAAAGGAGAGAGAGATACCATGGAAGAACTGACTGAAACAAAGAGGGAAGTCATAAAACATGCTGCAGTTTCCACCTTCCCTATATTGAAACTCAGAAGTTTAGGAAAAACGATAGTGCATTCTGGAGATGTTGGTTCGAGGGGTTTATCCAAGTGGAAATGCCAGTAATTAATTCACTGGAGCATTATTTATTGAATGCGTACAATGTATCAGGTACACACCAGTACTGAGTGTTAAACTAAAACATTCAAAGATAATATCCCAGTTTTGATGAGCTCACAAACAAACCAATTATTATATGGTAAAAGAGATATTTCAAAGTGCCCTACAGACATGGGTGACAGAGAGCAGTGGCATGATTTCAGTCAGTACACAAGGGTGAGACAGAATTTGCCAGCCTTATAACTGTGTGGTTGGGGTGGGAGGGTGGATGGTGGTTTCAGAGAGGAAATTACAGGTACAAATTCACAGAGGCAGGAATTGTGTTCAGAAAACTACAACTCACTTAGGATATGTCACACAGTTATATGGAGCATTAGCAAAAATCACTTTGGGATTTAGTAGTTATTACATGGGTGTTCTCTTCATAATTATTTATAAAACACTAACATTTATGTTTGATGTTATTTTCCATATGTTGCATGATGTTTTACATCTATGTAGGATAAAAATAGATCTCTCTCTCTCACATACACACAGTATTATGTTTACCTAATCTCTCTCTCTCTCTCTCTCTCTCTCTCTCTCTCTCTCTCTCTCATATATATATATATATATATATATATTTTTTTTTTTTTGAGACACAGTCTCACTCCATCACCCAGGCTAAAGTGCAGTGGTACAATCTCAACTCAGTGCAACTTCCATTTACCAGGTTCAAATGATTCTCATGTCTTAGCCCCCAGGTAGCTGAAATTACCGGTACACACCACAATGCTCAGCTAATTTTTGTACTTTTAGTAGATATGGGGTCTTGACATGTTGGCCAGACTGGTCTTGAACTCCAGACCTCAAGTGATCCACCCGCCTTGGCCTCCCAAAGTCTGGGATTACAAGCATAGTCACTGTGCCCAGCCTATAATATTTTCTATTTAAGGAAATTCCTCCCAGTTGAAGAGACAATAGATTTAAACATAACTTGTTTGATTATATACACAAAGCGCAAATTGAGTTCAAAAAGAACTAGGTCTTAGCAGGTATCACTATACAGACTTTTGCATTACAGATAATGAACGCTGTATTCCATTTTCAGGATTCATTCCCCAAGCCACCAAGGGGTAGTTAATGCCAACTTTGTGCATGAAAACCACCGCAGGGCACTATCATCAAGGGTAATGTGGCGTAGGAAAGACCTAGGTGGAAAAGCTGTCCATGAACTAATTTGGCTAGAAAGCAATGCTTAATATAGTGTCTCCCACTTCTATTAACATGCCACAGCCACCACTCTGGAGTTTAACTGCATTTCTTTCTCTCAGACACTAAAAAGAAAACGAGGAACCCAATGCACGACCACAAAAGTGTTTCTTATATCATTAAAACTTTTTCTAGGTTAATATTTTTGTGACAATAGTTTTAACAACGCACTCTCATTACAATAAAGCAGTGATATGGCCCCTTTGTGCCCTTTCTCATTTTGTTTAAGTGTTTAAGAGTTTCTTTTTTCCAGCGTTGTGGAATTCATTATTTCTTTACTCCTCTCTTTGAGAGAGAGATCACAGGGTATATATGCAGAAAACTTGGGTCTGAGTGAGGACCTTAACATTAATTATCCTGTATTCAGTCAATAATTTTACCACACTGAGCAGCTATTTTGTCATCTATTAAATGGGTATCATGCTTTCCATACCTGTGTCTCTCCAACTGTAGCCTGCATTAGAGTTGCTGAAAGACTTACCAAAATACAGATTCACTTGGTGTGACTTGTCAGATATTCTGGTTCAATGAATCTGGAGCAGCCCTGAGAATTTGCATCTCAGATAAACCTCCAGGTGATGTTGCTGCTGCTGCTGGTACTAACGACCACACTTTGAGAAGCACTGATTATACTCATTCATGTTGTTGTAAAGCCTTTCATGTGAACACCATTGATAAGGCAATACATTACTTAGGTTAATATGAAGAATCTGTAACTGTCATTTCTTTATATCAGGAACTGTCAAACAAAAATATTATACTGACTGAATATAAAAGTGTGCCTAGTGGTGACATTTAAGTGAAGAAAAACTATTGAATTACAAATGCCTTCAACTGCTATTTTAGTAATTTCTCTTTAGTATTAAATCATATCCTATCCAAGGTGTTCAGAAATGTCATAGGTGTTCAGAAATTCAAGCAACCATTGAAATTGTTTTGTTTGCCATGGATGTTCTACTATACTATAGAACCTTTGCATTATGCTTCATAACATCAGAGACATCTTTAGAATAGTGGAAGAAAGAAATTTAAATTTGTTCTCTCTAACCTTTAAGCACATCCAACAATGAAAAAGAAATTGAAGTGCCTAAAGTCACATAACCTACCTAAATCATTAAAGGAGGAATGCAATAAAAGAACCCTTTATCTCCAAGGCCATTAATGATACCCTGCAAAGCTTGGAGATTACACTCTCAGGACCTCAGATGTATCCACTGATGTACTGATGGATATGCCCTCTCTTCTTGTATGGATAAAAGTGAATTAACAGTCATATTTTCTTAAAATACCACAAACCCATTAATTAGTAATTACTTATTACTAATTACTAATTAATCAATCCCTTAATTAGTGATAATTAGTTATTACTAGATAGTAATAATGGGTTTTGGTATTTTTAAAAAATATTTTGAATGAGTTATGAGAAAACAGGCAAGCTAAGGGAAGACTAAATTGTCCTTTTTATCATTTAGCAAAGAAATTTCAATCTATCAGCCACAACATACTATGTGGTAGATGAAACATGAAATTCACTTCAAACTCAGGAAGAAATACAATTTAAAACTCAACTTTTTCCAGAATCCCAACTTCCGTGCACTGTTACTGAATTGTATTAGTCACTCAATATAATAATGTGTTTCAGGTTCACACAGTATATAATCAGAGCAGCAATTATAGTCATGAACATTTCACAGAGAAGATATTAATGACCGGGGGTGTGCGTTGTGTTTATGTATACCTCCACATGTGTGTGTGGTATAGTCATTAAGTTGGTCTATTTTGATTTACCAAAAGTAGAATACATTAATATATTGTATTGACTGCCAAACATCCTTAAAATGCACAATTTAAAAAGAAACTATTTCAGTCTTTTAATTAAGGGTTTTTAATTTAACAAGAAGCAGATGGACTTGGACTCAATTTTTTTTCTTAACTTTATTCCACCTCTGAGGGGGATTAAAAAAAATCTGTGCAATGTACCTCTCAAAGAAATCCCTGCACTGTCTGCCACCTGGTCTCTCTTTTCCTTTGTTCCCTAGGCATCATTTTCATCTTTATTTCCACAACTTGCAATGGAGACCCACAGTAAGAAACACCAATGGAAATGAGATGTACAGGTCATCAACAAGAACCAAGGCAGAGAAAAGAGAAAGATGACATATCTGGCCTTCTTTACTTAAACACACTTAGATTTAATATAGTGCAAATTTCATAGAAGTAGGAGGTAGAAAATTTAAGTTTTTCCCTAAAATTATCACTTGTTATCAATGCAGTATTAAGTTGCTACAGATGCTCATGCATGCCTTGTATCCTCATCTGTCAAACGCAAGTGCAGATGCCAGCAACATCTCCTTCTTTGGGCAACTGAAATATTAAACTAAGATCTCCATTTATCAAGCAGGGAGTACTGAATATATATACATTATTATTCTTGCAAGATTTCCCATTCTAATTGAAAGGGAAAAGGTCCTAGCAGAAAAGTTAAAAGTTGTTAGGTAAAGCATCTGGAATATACACAAGGAATGCAAATAAATACAGAAAAAAAAAATCTGAAAACCCTGGACTCTATACCTGTTTCATAAATACTTAAAACCTAAGTAAGAGAGAAAACTTCTAGAAAAAAATTTTATGTGTTACAGGGTAAATGCAAAATAGCATCAACATTTGAAATGGGAAAAACAATGAGATCATGTGTTACGGGTCGTACTCTAACTGTCTAATGACATGGGGTTTCGCCACTCAGTGTGAAGCCGTCAGCAAAAAGACCTTGAGCTTTTACCTCCATTTGTACAGTGTTTAACATGAAGTTCAGCACAGAGGCTTTATTTCATCCTGGTTTGTGAATGAATGACACCCTGCTGAAGATGTTAGGTATTTCGATTTTGGCCCTAATAGGAACACAGTATACAAACAGTCAGACTCATCTTTACCCAGAAAACCAACAAGATGCCTTATTTTTGCGAGCAACCTAGGGACATTGAAAGTTCATTAATACAGCAGTCACAATTACCTTCCATGCTCTCATGTTCTCATAAATATCATAGCATAAATTGGGGAAAATTGGGTGATCCAATGCCTGTGGATGTTATTGGTTCTATTCTTGAGTCTGAATGTTATCCCTGGCCCTAATTCCAAAGTCTTTGGCCTAATGTTATTGGCAAGTGTATGAATGTGGCAGATAATGTGGACGATAACTTTTCATTTTTAATTTATGTCCTTGCTTCCTTCATCGTCCCATTGCCTGTCCTAGGGAGATAAGGAATCCACCACCGTCTGAAGTTCATGCATTCTTCCAGGAGCCAAGGTCACTATGCAGGAAAATACTGAACCAAAAAAACATAGACAATTTCTCTTAATGCACTTTTTAATCTAAAGAGTCTGCTCAGTACAAATAAAAACTGAGAAAGTATTGTGGATGACATTAAAGGTTCCTACACTAAAGGAGGCAAAGTTGAATAATATAATTAATAATAACAGCAATAGTAGTCAAAACAATTAATAGAGAACCAACATGCCAAGAATTATAAAATAAAATTTTCAAGTATTATCTCATTAGTCCTTGCAATAATACTGTCACATAAGTATCATATTTCTCTGTTTTGCCAATGAGAGAACAGAGATAGTTATGACTACTATTGACTACTGTTGGTCAATTGCACAATTTCCTCACAAACATCTTTCCCTATCTTTTGTGGGCAGAACCCTAAGATGGCCACCCTCATTTGCATCTGCTTGTATCCACGACTTTGTGTAATCCCCTCCCTCTGAGTGTGAGGGACCTGCAACTTTCTTCCAACCAATACAACATGGCAAAAGTGCTGGGCTGTCACTCCCACCATTATGTTACATAATGGGTGAATAGATTTTGCAGGTGTTATTAAGGTTCCCAATCAGACAACTTAAAGTTGGCCAAAAGAGAGATATATTGGGTGAGCCTTTCAAAACAGGGTATAGAAGCGAGAGACTTGAAGCAGCAGAGACACTAATCTGCTGGCTGTGCTGTGTACTGACTATGGAAAGAAAGGTCTCCAGGAGATAAGAGCATCAGTTCTACAATCACAAGGAACTG